AAAAAAAAAAAAATATATATATATATATATTTTTTTTTTTTTTTTGAATATAAAACCAGTTCTTGGATAAATTCTTGTATGTTAATGCAACCCCAGTTCATCCTTAAGAGCCCATTTTATTCCTGTATCATTCATAAGCTAGAGTTAGCTGAACAAACAACTAAAATATACCATTAAAAATTGTCAAGTACTGGACTGAAACCGTGTAAAAACAGCCAGGACTACATTAAAATTATACAAGAAAATCTGACTCTTTTAAAGCAGCATAATATAAAATGATGTGTGACTGCTGCACTGTACTGGATGCAGTCACTTATATCGGTGAAGACGTACAGAAGCTCAACAATGAACAAAGTTTTTTCTTGAAAAAAACAACAACAGCACTGAGTAATTACATAGAAGCTACATTTTCAAAAGTTTTAATTGGGGCAGGATTGGTACTGAACACAGAATAAGAAACTGTATTATATGTGTGCATTGTAGGGAGATGCTAATCGGTCCGAATCAGACGACGAAAAGAAATCCGACAATTTCGACGAGGATGAAAAAGTCGAACAGTTCAGAGACACCGGTAGGTGAAATGAAGAGCACATTCAGTTTATTCACTGTTTTCTTGCTCATTTCTAAACATGCCTTTATTTCTGTTCCGTAGAGCTAAAAATGTACTCTCTGATGCTAACGGCCAACGGTCACATTGACCCCCATGGCACCGTGGCTCCTCCAATTATTATGCGCACCGCAGCGACACCCATGCCCACGCCTAAAAGCTCATTGGGCCCCGAGTCCATTTTGGAGGAGGAACTTTTGTACAGAGATGGGATATCCCAACAGAGTGAAGGTGGACTGGGCTTGAGTGAGGCTGGAGTTGACCATGTGGGCTCTCGCCGTGGAAGCTCAACATCCATAGACCCCTCAGCCTACGACCAGCGGTCTTTAGTGAGTTATCTTATAGGTTTCACTAACAATTTATAGATAATAACCAAAATGTACATTTTCAAGCAAGTGATTATCGCCTACCATCATGTAAGACAGGCGATAATGTAATATTTTATGTGTGTATGTATGTTTATATGTCTGTCTGTTAGCAAAATATCAATCATCAGATGCACATTTACAACTGATTTACTTTTGGAATTAGCTCTGAGTACGACTGCCACCACAGCAAATTGACATTAGCAAACACAGAAATCACTGAGTCAGTAAAGTTTATAAAAAAAAAGTTTGATGTGGTAGTAGCCAATAGTAATCTGCAACACGTATTTCGAGCACTTTCAGATAGTACAGGCGTTTTGTGAAAAACTTTGTTGAAATGTGACAGACATGGTGTATTCCTTGAAAAAAATGCTATTTTTGTTTAAATATATCAAATTCATACTGGTAGTTTTTTCCCCTCTCATCTTTAGTGACATCCATATTTTAATGTAAAGTTTTTATATGGCATTGGGAGTACAGTAGTCCCTCATTTATCGTGGGGTATCAGTACCCTGAAGTCCCGCAATAAGTGAAAAACCACAAAGTAAGAATGGTAGTACAAGTAGTAAGTAGTAGTTTATATACATACTAAACATAATAAATCCTTCCCACACTCTTGCAATATTCTAAACAATATTTCTAAACTCTAAACGCTCTAAAAGAGCACAGAACGTCCTGATTTCAGCTCTCTGCCTCCGCTGCACTCTGCCACCTGCCAATCTTGGCCACGCCCACCTCTCAGCTGCAGAGATCAGCTGCATGAAGAAGCTTCTCTCACAGCTGTGGGCTGCACACAGGTGCTAAATACTTTAAGATAATTTATTTTAAATAAATATTCCATGCCGGTCGTGCGCCTCATCCATAAATCAGCCAGTTGTGTTTCATGTCCAATCGTATTTTGAAAAACTGCGATAGAGCGAGTCCGCAAAAATGAACCGCGAAGTAGAGAGGGACTACTGTAATTATTTTTACATAATCTAAATTTACGTTGTCTAAAATTCAAAACATGAAGAAAACACACCATGTTTTAAAGCAACAAATTAATGGGAAAACATCAACCTGAAGTGAGTTATAAAAACGGGAAGCATCATACTTTCATTTGATGGCCGGGTATTTCTTGTTCTTATGACGTCTGTCTGGAGCGTTTATGTACATGATTCTGCTGGTTTCAGTTGATCCAACATCAAATTACTTTAAATATTTTAATGTTTATGTTAATTCAGGTCTTTTGTTTGAAATATCCATTATGTCTTCCATAGAGTGTTTCATTAAAGCCTTGTGGTATGAAGTCCATCTTCAGTATGTTTGATCAACACAGAAGAGAGATAAAATATCTGTTCATAAATTTAAAGTGTCCGGAAACTGTGAATGACTTAAAGGTCCTCTCTTAGAGTGAAAATGTTGATCAATGCTAATAAAAGATGGTTGTTTGTTAAGATAATATTTGGTCTTAAGTGTAATCCTGTTTGCTACGATGGCCACAGAGTTAGCAAGAAAAATATGTTGTATGTTCTTTTATTAAATTTCAAAGATAAATCCAGATTAATAAATAGTCTGAACCATGTGAATCTGTAATTCTAATTGTCTGAATTAACGTCTCTCAAGGTGCAAATTTTCTGTGTTGAGTCCCATCCACAGCATATTCAGTCCCAAAACAACTGGATTCAGTTCATATTTTTATGTATTAGATGTGATTCGGTTTCATTTCTGCTCCATAGAGTCTCTCGAGTCCGGGTCGGCGTTCTCCTCTTGCCCTCCGTGGTTCAGGCAGCTCATGGGGGAGCCGTCGCTCCAGCTGGAACAGCCTGGGAAGAGCGCCAAGCCTGAAAAGGCGAGACACCAGCGGAGAAAGGGAGAGTTTATTGTCAGGGGAAGGTGGAGAGGAGGAGGAGGACGGCCAGGATGAGAACGAGGAGGCTGGGGTCAACAACAGACTGAAGCCGGGGTGCGTGGAGCTGCAGCCACCATCTCCTCTCGGTCCCTCTATAATAACAGAGTATGGCGACTGCAATGGGAGGACTCAGACGTACGACCCAAACGTAAACTCCGACCTCAAAGATGACTTCTCGACAGAGGATGACTTAGACGATGACGTAAGTTATGAGTCAGAGCTTTCACAATGATTTTTCTGAACTCTGCAGATTCCTAAAGGTCCTACAGGCTCCTAATTGCTGCTCTTCTGACTTTTACAAATTCAGTTCTTCTTCGTATAAATTGACTATTTTTAAAGTGATTTTTCAGATCTTTTTAAGTGAAGGTTATTGTGAAGGTTATGGACACGTTTTGATATCTTACCTGTTGTAGATAGCTCTTTGAATGGACTCAACTTAAATAAATAATTAAACCTCTCCATAGCACTGAAACTGCCCTGCTGAAGGTCTTTAACGACATCTTCAGATCCACAGATACTGGTGATTCTGTGCTGCTTGTCCTGTTGGACCTCACAGCCGCCTTTGACACCATCGACCATGAGATCCTCATTGCTAGGTTGGAGCAGTGGGTGGGCATCACAGGGTCAGCCCTCAATTGGTTCAGATCCTACCTCACTGACATATCCTTTTATGTCTCCATCAAGGATTTTAGTTCTGCAGCGGCAGAGCCTAAATGGGGGGTCCCGCAGGGGTCCATCCTGTGTCCCTTCCTATTCTCTTTATACCTGCTGCCGCTTGGTGCTATTTTCCGGAAACACAACATGCCCTTCCACTTCTATGCTGATGACTGTCAAATTAACTTCCCCCTAAGACACAATGGTACATGCTCTATTCAACCTCTGCTCGACTGCCTGGCTGACATCAGGGACTGGATGGCTTTAAACTTCTTAAGTTTCAATGAAAAGAATCTGAAATCATGTTGTTCCCTCCCAACGACACGATCACAAACCACTGCATCGACCTCTCTGCTCTAACCCTGTCAGAAAAACAAAGAGTCACTAATCTGGGACTGATAATGGACCCTTCCCTGAAACTTAACAATCATATAAACATGATTGCTAAATCATGTTTCTTCCAACTGAGGCGGCTGTCTAAACTGAAGCCCATATCCAAAAAGAACCTGGAGACAGTAATACATGCATTCATTACATCTAGGCTTGATTACTGCAATTCACTCCTGTTTGGTATCAGTCAAACCTCTATAGCATGACTACAACTGGTCCAGAATGCAGCAGCCCGATTTTTAACCAGTACAGGCAAAAGAGAGCACATTACACCAGTTTTGGCCTCACTGCACTGGTTACCGGTTCATTTTCGAATCCAGAAACCGCTGAACAGCACCCCCCCCCCCCCCCACACACACACACACACACACATACCTCTCTGATCTGCTACAACCGTATGTCCCACCACGTTCCCTGAGGTCAGCGGACCAGTTGCTCCTCACAGTTCCAGGAACTCGTCTTAAGCGCAGAGGTGACAGGGCCTTCTCTGTAGTAGGACCAAGACTCTGGAACGAGTTACCTCTGCTTGTCAGACAGGCCCCCTCCCTCTCGGTTTTCATGTCCCGTTTAAAAATCCACTACTGTTCAGTAGCTTTCAACACCAGATGATCTGTGTTTTGATCCTGTATGCTCCACACTGGTTAGTCGTCATATTTATTATCTGCATCATTTTTATGTCTATTTTCTGATTTACTTCATTTTGTATATTGCTTCATGTGTTACCTGTTGTTCTGTCTGTACAGCACTTAGGTTGGCCTTGTTGCTGTTTTAAGTGCTCTATAAATAAAGTGGTATGGTATGGTAACTTAAAGAAATAGTTTAATTTTGACCAACAGAGGAGCTAACTTGTAGTCTGAGGCCAAAACCAGTATGAATTTCTGTCTTCTTAAAACAGCTAGTTTAAAAAATCTATAGTGGTTCATGTAAATGCGCTTTTGTAAACTTTTACATCACCATCACTTTTACGTTAAACTGTTTTTTTTTACACTTTTTTTGCAAGCACAAGTAGCAGCAGCAGCTAGCTGTAGCACCACCAGTGCAGCATGGTGCATTTCTCAAAGGAATATTTTAATGTTTCTGTCACATTTTACCAAAATGTATTGTCAAAATTTGTAGGAAGACGTAAAAGGAAAAACACTATACAGTAACGCTTAAACGCGATGGTGGAGGGTTGATGAGCTTGGTTTATTAGAGTTCTTTAATTTAATTTGAGGCCGTCTGTCAGATGCTTAAATTTTGCCTGAAGTTCAAATTACAAGACAGTCCTTATAAAATCAGTAGCAGGTGTTGAAAAGGTCTAGTTAAAAGAGTGGGGAGCCTTCAGGGCCTTCTACACCTCCAAAGAAGGCCTAATAATTTAACACATTTGAATTGTTGCTTAAATTATTGTTTAACTAATATTTATTTTCAATGTATTTTTGCTAATTTTTGCTAATTTCTCTTATTTATGTGTAAACTACTTTGCAGATGAGTACACAACTTTAATATTTATGAAAATACAGTTATCCAATCAGATCCTTTTAAATTAGCATATTCATGCGGAAACATGTTTGGAGCTGTGGTAGCTTGGTCAGTCTTGTAATCCTGAGGTTGTGGGTTTGAGTCCCAGTTACATCAGGAGGGACATCCGGTGTAAAACATTTGCCAAATCTTTCATGAAAGTTTGCTCACTGTGGCAACCCCTGAAGAAGGGAGCAGCCAAAAGAAACATACTTTTAGGCAGAAACATGGTTGAAGGTTGTTTGTCACTGTTTAGGACTTCACTGTTAAGAGAGAAGGCTGAGTTCATTTAAAGACAGGATGAATTTGTATAATAACTAACTGGAAAATAAACTGATCCCAGTGGTTAGAGAGTGAGTGGGACCAAATTATGGGACTCTGAGTCTTTGGGTAGGAATTTACTGCTTGGTGGAGAGACAGTTTACTGGAACTCATCAGACTGATGAAGCCCTCTGGATAGAGGACGAAATGTCTCTATAAAAAAGAAACTGTCCAGATGACCTGATTGAGAATTATTGGATTTGGTACCTGGATGATTGAGCATGAACTTTGTTGCTTTGGGTAGGAAGGCCCTGTAGGCTTTCTTATTTATTTATTTATTTTTTAACTACATGCATGTTTTCAATGCATTCAGTTGCAATCTGTAAATAAAAAAGTGAAGGTTAAACATCCCATGTGAGTTTACATGAATAATTTTGACATTATTTTGGTTCCATTACATGAAGAAATCTTACAACAAAAAGTTATGTGGGTTACTGTTAAATTTTCGTGCGAATTATCTGAAATTACATGTTGTACTTAAACATACGAGAGTGAGTGTCCCACATTGCATGCTGGGTAGCTCTGAAGGCCTTGCTTTTTTATTCATGGTTCACCACTGAGTTAAAGTTTAGACCAGTGGTGTCAAACCCACAGAGGGCCAAATAAAAAAAATAAAAAAAAATTCAAACTGAAGGCCAGGTTCAGAATCTACATGAACTCAAGTTTATTTATTTATTTAGTTTATTTGATAGGCACTGACACACAATAACATAGACAAACTGAATAAAGCAGTAGTCTCATGCCTGTATCATGGTGCTCATAATGTGAGCTAATTTGCAGCACTTGTCCTTAGATGGGCTTTTATACACAGGATAGCTAAAATACTATTAAGAAGTGCTAGATAAGAAGTTAGAACTTAGATACTCAACATCTTCTCTTGGTTGCAGGTTCCTCATCAAGAGTTTGACTGGTCTCATTTGACATTCTTTGTTGCAGTTTTGACATCACAATCAAAGATTACAAAAAAAAAAATAAATAAAGTGATAAAAGTATTTTATATTTAAAATAACATCTTGGGGGCCAGATAAGATGTCAACGAGAGCCACGTTTGGCCCCCGGGCCTTGAATTTGACACACATGGTTTAGAACATTAAAAAAATTAAATTATAGTGGCAAGACCAAAGCATATACCAACACATCCTAAAGAACTGAAAGAACATGTTTTAAAAAAAGTATTGTTAGAAGTACGAACTTCATTTTGTTAAAGGTATACTGTTATACTAATCTCATGCTGTGTTGTTCATCAACATACATCTTAAGACCTCAAACCAAACAGGTAATTATTAAGACCTGATGGGTAAAACTGTAAAATAGTAGTAGGAATGTACAAATGTAGATTCAGTGTGTGCTTTTTCAGTTGCCCTTTCCTTTGTCTTCTGTCTTTTGTTTCCCCATAACTGCAAAATACCACGGGGTGTGTTTAGTGTTCACGTTGCAAGATCACACACTAATTGTCATGCTTTGATTCATTAGCTCTCGGAGTAATTGTTTTCTCAGTGGGTACAAAACAACGTGCACGTACATGCGCAAACATAAATGGGTTCATGAATGCAAATGTCTACATGTGTGTGAAAAACGAGCGTTTTACTCTCCTGTTGGTTTTAGATGACCTGGATTGTGACAATGCTCATGCTTTGATTGGCCTCAGATGTAGTTCATAATGCCGTAAGGTCCTTGTAAACAAAAAATACAGCTCATTTGAAACAGGGTTTGGGGCGTGTGTGTGCACGATGTGCTAAGTGAGATGAATTTTTATCAAGAATTTTGGAGTTTGGCTCTTAAAAGACCTGATCAGCAAGTATTACTTTGTACTCAAACTTACACAGTACACACATGTAACCATAAGAGTGCATGAGGCTGTGTGCCAAATAGGCAGAGTCTGAGAGGCCTGAGTCTGGGCTATTTTTAATTAGAATCCTAAAGTACAAAAGCTGAGGATCTAAGCTTTCTTCTGTTTGTTTTATTGCTAACTTTAATGAGCTCCATGAGACTCCATGGAGCTCGGGCACTGGCTAGGTTGGAAGTCCACCTGTTCGGTCCTAATTAACTCCATCTGATTATGCAGTGAAACACATGTTTGTTGTACCCTTATAGATTTAAATAAGGAGTAGCTAACGTCAGCAACACCAAGAAGCTATGAATCCTGCATTGTTCACTGAGGCTGCTCAAGTTGTGGAGAGTCCATTTGATTCTGTGTAATACGGCTTTTTTTGAGACATGATGTTCTTTTAGTGACTTGCACGGGTTTAACTTACATTTTCCTAATGTCAAACAATTCTTCAAAGTATAAAAGTAAGTGTTCATGATCAACGGGAGAGTTCAGATCTTTTGATGTTGGGTTTTGTGGAAAGCATATTATCTGGTGATATCCTGACTGTTTCAGTGTTTCCAACTGAGCAACTTTGTTGCTATATTTAGAAAGTTTTCAGACATCTCTAGTGACTAGTTAATAAAAAAAACAAGTCACTAGCAACTTACATAGTGACTTTTGTTTAGTGGTACTGTATTAGAGACTTTTAGAGTATGCAGGTGTGAATGGAATTTTATTTTTATTTTTTTTCCCAACAAGAAGACGGGTACTCCCAAATCACTCAGTCGTCATGCAGCATCCCTTCCAGCTGCAGTCAGAGCAGGAGACATTCACCCCACTGCATCCAGGCCCTAATTTTTTTCATTTACCCTTTATTTTTACAGGTGCATTGAGTCATGAGAACTCATTTTCAAGAGAGACCTGTTTTTTTGGGAGCAGATGGTGGAGGTTAAGGGCATTGCTCAAAAGCCCAGAGTGATGGAGGCAGGTGTGGGTGTTTCACCTTTTCCACCCACATTTTGATGTTGACGGTACCGGGAGTTGAACCTGTGACTTTGCGATCACAGGCCCACCTTCTCTAACCTCTGCGCCACCACTCCCCATGCTGCTGCTGACTTATCCATGGTGGAATGTAAATGTCAAATTATCTATCTTAACTTCATTGCTGCATTAGTCCCAAACCTGGGCTGAATTTGTTAAGTTGTGGCATAAATACACCAAGAATCAACAAATTAAAGTTCATTTGTAGTTCTAAATATTTCTATTCATTTTTTTGTCTCCCCATAACCTGATTCCTCTCTGGTCAATGATGTAAATTAGGTGATGATATCATTTAATGACAAAGCAACTTTTAGGACAGAGACAGTAGCTTCCTTCCTTGATGAAAAGTTGGCAACACTGTTTTGGGCGGCACAAAAGATTCGTACTGTTGCCTCACAGCAAGAAGGTCTTGGGTTCAAAGCCCAGGTTGGGCCTGGTGGTCTTTATGTGTGGAGTTTACCTGTTCTCCTTGTGCTTGCTTGAGTTTCCTCCCACTGTCCAATACAACATGCATGTTGATGCTTTCAGTCCCAGGCCTCCCTTGAAAAAGAGATCTGTAATCTTAATGGGATTTGTCTGGTTATTAAATAACAGTTAAATAAAAATAAATGTTGATATTTTTTTTGAATGACCTCAGTTTGGAGAAATGTCAGTTTTATGTCAATGGCACATTAAAAAAAAAAAAAAAACAGAAGTTGACCAATGAATTTACAGTTTAGTCTAACAAAATGTTAAAATACAACAGTAAAAATCAGAAAGCAGGAAGAGATGAGACATTTAAAACCACCAGCTCTTTGTGGTTTCATACTCTGAATGGAGTTTAGCTCTGGTCATGTTCACTCACGCAGACTCGTGTTCGTGCTGTTGTTATTCGGCGCATTGTTTTTGCACTATTAAGTGTTTAGTGTATTCTTAGATTAGCATATTTCTAAATTCATATCTTAGATCTTATTACTGTTTTTCTTTTACAATTTATGCTTTTGTTGGATGTAACTGGGACCCTGTGTACACAATTTTGTTCCACCACATGTACCACATGCGAATGACAGTAAAGAAACCTTGACCTTGATCTTGTCAAGCTAAAGGATCAACGAGCTAACGGCTAGTCTCATGGAGACCAAAGTGGATTCCTGCTGCCTTCACACAACTTCAGTCTCAAAGATTTTAGAGCATTTCATTTAAAAGTACAGTTAATTTCTCAATACATCTACATTCTAGCAGAAATACATGAAAGTGGAAGTGCAACAGCTAGCTGCCGCTGCTATTTAATTGCATTTAAACAGACATAGAATATTATAACAATACATGTGCAATGCAAAATTGATTATGATGTAAAAGTTTACAAAAATAGCATTTGTTGAACATTGTTGAGATTACTGTTGTTTTAAAATAAATCTGCTCAGACTGACCAACTAACCAAAGTTGTTCAAGGTACTATCTACAACAGGTAAGATAATGACCATTCACAACCTTTACACAGAACCCCACTTACAAAGATCAGAACTTTTGCTTTAAATAACACTAAAATATTTGCACTAAAATCCTGATTTACGCAAATAACATGCAATTTAGTCTCTTTTTGTTTCTTATAGCTGCTTTACTACCAGTCCACAGCATTCATTCCTCCAAATAACATTGTCAATGTAAAGCATTAAAGGCTGCTGGGTAATAAAACTTATCACACATAGTGTTAACCTGTTCAAGTTAACAGGAAAAACATCTATTAGTTCTAGTTTGAAATGAAGTGAATCAGCTGATGCCACCAGAGAGTTTTTCTGCAACGATCTTGAGTGATAATTGTCATTTTCAGGTCAAAATTTGAGTTTTTCAAACGCAGCGACACGGCGCTCCTCTTGTTTGAATAATTGTAAAGTGAGTTTCTGTTAGAATCACATTATGTTGACAAAACAATTCAATCATTTTGGACACTAAACTGCAGATGAATCAATGCAGGCTGCTGTTGAAGCGAACATCATTGAGCTGTAATGGAGGCGAGGAGTTTGTTCGCTCGTGTTAGAATTTAAATAAAAAGAAAACGCCCCGAGTGGGTCATAAACACCACGACGGTGGTGCTGATAAAGATTTTACTATTTGCCAACTTGATGCAGTCACCACTTTGACACCAATAGTGGTTTTGGTTTATAGCGTGCAGTGATGAATAGGAAGGAAAGTCGTTTTGTTGCTGCTGTTCTGAATTGATGTGACCTCTCGTTGCTGCAGAGTCCTTTCTGCTACTGGGTCCGGAGAGAAATCCACAACATCAAACCCCGCTGGTGCAAAGAACATGAAACATGGACGCTCTACTTATTTTCTCCAGAGAGCCCGTGAGACAAACACACATTTATAACCATCATTTGTTTCGAGCAGCTGACGTTTCCAATTCATTTACCAGGAAAACAATAAAAATTCCTGTTATACTTTTAAATCTTTCTTTAAAACAAGTGTACTTATCTATGTTTCGACTTTTGCTTGCTGCTGTGTGCCTTCCAGTTGTTTGGTCAACATCTGGAAGCCATCCTAAATATTTTAAAGGGGATTTTGTGCGTTTTCAGAGTTCGTATCTGGTGCCAAAGTGTGATCTCTCACAAACTGTTCGACCACGTGGTTCTGGTTTTCATCTTCCTCAACTGCATCACCATCGCTCTGGAGAGGCCTGATATTCAGCTGCACAGCAAGGTGAGACAGCCGATAATCACTAACTGGCCAGATACATTTGTTTTTTCTTGTGAGATACAGAGCGGGGGAGAAAATACTGAGTTTATAAAAAAAAAAATGCAATTCATTGAATGAATGGCTTCAGAACCGGTTAGGATTGATGTGTGAAGTGCTTGTTTATTTAAAAACTAAATGCTAAACTTAAATGGATGACTGAATGTTGGATTTTGTACCTGGATTATTGAGCATGAACTTGGCTGTTAAATGGTTAAGGTTTCTAAAGTGGGGTTTTGTGGAGTTATCAGCAGTCAGAATCTTACCTGCAGTAGACGATGGTCTCTGACTCTAAAATCAAAGAGAATCTACTTGAGTCAAGCGGTTTGTCCAAGTGCGTCACTTCCACAGTAATTCCTGCCACTCTAAAAACAATTACGCTCTCAAAAATTTAATTTACATTTTTATTTAATAATTTTTTTTGTAAAGCTTTATTATTGTTTTCAGTTAATCTTTACACTGGTCCAAATGAAACATGTGTTGAAAACCAGAACATGTTAGGGTGCAAACTGGCAGAGAGGGAGAAAATAATAGCTTTTAAAATACAATAAGGTTTTTATTTTTACATTGTATTTATTTGCCACCAAATATTAACCCTATCAGGTCACTCTTCATATATTTCAGTTTTACAACATGTATTTTACACAAAATGCTATTGCTAACAAACCCCTTTCCAATCTTCGTTATAAAGGATAAACTTGTTTGTTAATTACAAAGTAATGCAAAAGTGATGGTTGTGTAATAGTGGTTGCATAAACCACTATGAACATTTTAATTTGGAATTATTTGAAGACTCTAGAAATAGACGTTGGAACTAGTTCAAACCTAATTAGACAAAATGAAAATCTAATTTCTGAAATCTGTAGATTTATTATTTAGCCCAGCATTTCATGCCTGCACGTTTTTTTTGATATAATATAAAATCTGCTTTAATTTGTGTTTTTGTTGCTCATCAGATAATTATGTTCCATCCATTTTACTGTAGCATTTGACGAAACAGTTAATAATTAAATAAAGTGAACAGCATGAACCCGTAGAGAGCCTTAAAATGTAAATACAACATAACTTTACAAAGTAAGATAATAACCCACACACCAATTGTTGTTAAGTAGCATTTTTGATGATTTCAGCAACACTCAAACGAAACATCTGCTTGTGTCATGGTACAATGTCTTCACGATTAAGTCCATTTAAGTAAACTTGGACTAAATATAATTTCATTTGCCCTTTAGGAGCGAGTGTTTCTGAGTGTGTCCAACTACATTTTCACTGTGATCTTCCTAGCAGAGATGGCAATTAAGGTAAGCACTCTTCCAATTACCTTTCTGAACATTTTTTTATTTTTATTTTTAATAATATTATTAAAATTCAATATCTGCTTCCCTGACTTCACTGTTGTTTCATCAGGTTGTAGCTCTTGGTTTCTGCTTCGGGAAGCAGAGCTACCTGCAGTCTAGCTGGAACATTTTGGATGGGGTTTTGGTGTTTGTGTCCCTGGTGGACATCCTGGTCTCTCTGGCCTACACAAGTGGGAACAGAATCCTGGGGATTCTCCGAGTCCTGCGCCTTCTACGCACACTCCGCCCACTCAGGTGTGTTTTGTGCGATGATCCAAGAATACCTATTGCCCTTCCTTTACTTTAATATTTGTATTTTTTTTTAATGATTGTAATTCCAGGGTGATCAGTCGAGCCCCAGGTTTAAAGCTGGTCGTGGAGACGCTCATCACGTCTCTCAGACCTATTGGGAACATTGTTTTGATCTGTTGCGCCTTCTTCATTGTGTTTGGAATCCTGGGGGTCCAGGTATTTATTGTTTCACAACACAGACACGTTAGCGCTAGCTGCACCCATTATGCATGTTTTTGTTGCTCTCTTGAGCTATTTTACCCTTTGTTGCTTAAATGTCAGCCGTGCTGATCAGCTGCATGCTGTATGTGACTGTGGCAGGAGGGAATTCAAGCATTCTGAAAATCCACTAGGCATAAAGCTTTTGAGTGCGAGTCTTGAGAACAATGACACTGAGTTAAGTGGGATAAGGAGCAACACAACCCCCAGGGCGTTTATTAGTCAAGCACTTCCCGTAAGAAGAACTCGATGAAACATCCTTTAATCCATGACATTAATGGCTGAAAGCTTAAACTGCGGCACACGTCATTGCAACTGAGATAATGAGGAAATGACATAGAAATAACCACAAAGACTTCCATCTTTATAACCTTTATTTTTTAGCTCTTCAAAGGGAAGTTCTACCACTGTGAAGGTCTGGACACTAAAAACATCACGAACAAGTCTGACTGCCTGCAGGCCAACTACCGCTGGATACGAAGGAAGTACAACTTCGACAACTTGATTCAGGTACAAATTCAATTTAACAGGTTTGGGAAGAATGATGGAAGATAATAAATGTCTGCAGATTTTTCTCAGCAACTCAGTGTTACTTTACATCTCTGTGTTTTTGTCGCCAGGCTCTGATGTCTCTGTTTGTGCTGTCGTGTAAGGACGGCTGGGTCAACATCATGTATGATGGACTGGATGCAGTGGGAGTGGATCAGCAGGTAAACATTTGACACTTCTCTATGGGAGTGTGGGGAGGAATGGATTTTTGTGAACGCTTGTGGCCCACCTGAGGCTGTCTCTCCTCCGTTCTGGAAATTTATTCTGCATACTGAAAAACAACAAAAATACAACAAAAAATAAATAAATAAATAAATAAAAACATTACATTTGAGATCAAAAAGAGTATAGAGTAGTCCGTCGCTACTTCGCGGTTCGTTTTTCGTGGATTCACTCTATCGCGGTTTTTCAAAGTAAGATTGAACATGGCACACAGTTGGCTGATTGATGGATGAGCCGCAAGATTGGCATGGAATTTTAATTTAAAATAAATTATTTTAAATTATTTAGCACCTGCTGCACCTTTGTGCAGCCCACACAGCAAGATACGCTTCCTCCTGCAGCTGATCAGCTGATCTCTGTGCAGATTGGATAAGTGGGCGTGGCCGAGAGCGCTTGCAGGTGGCTGAGAGCAGAGGAGGCAAGGAGCTGAAATCATGACATTCTGTGCTCTTTTAAAGCGTTCAGACTAGTTTAGATACATTGTTTAAAATATTGCAAGAGTGTGGGAAGGGTTTATAATGCCTTTATATATATATATATATATATATATATATCAATAAACTACTACTTACAACATGTACTTCTATTCCTACTTTGCGGTTTTTCACTTATTGCGAGTCTTCAGAGTACAGATCCCCAGTGATAAATGAGGGACTACTGTAATCCAAAAAATTTAATCATGTATTTCACCTTGGTTCACATGTTTATTCTTCTCAGTTTTGCAATATAGTAGTCCATCGATTATCTGGGGAGGGTTACGTTCCACATTCCAGAATGACAGGTGAAAAACCGAGAAGTAGGAACGCTATTTATTTAAGTATTTATATATATTTTAAGGCTTTATAAACCCTTCTCACATTCTTGCAATGCAAACTCTTAAACCTACGTAATTTTAACGTATTGTACAGTGCTGCAAAATTCGACTCATCAGCTCTGCAGATCTGCAGCTCGGATCCAATACAGCTCGGTTCCGGTTCAACAGACCTGCCCCGCAGCGACGAAGCCCACCGCCCCTCCCAGGTTGATGTGTGTGTAGATAATTGATCTTCAGGAAGTTTCAGGATTATTTACAACTTTCCTGCCAGTTCTGTGAGCTTCATGGATAGATCCCTTTGTTTTTCAGGTCTCTCTATGAGTCCCCGAGGCTCAATGGATTTAACTTGTATAAATAAAGGTTGAATGAATGAAATTGTTTCTTCTGACTCTGCAATGCAAAACTTTCCTTCCATTTTGGCAGAAAGCAGCGTCTGGAAACACTGTTGGCTTCTGGGTAGTGTAGTTATTTGGAGTGGCATTACAGTATAGGCTTATTAAAAGAAAACTACAAAATGGCAGCACCTGTCCGAAGCTTTTTTTTTTGGTTAACTATTTATCCCATACATCCCAATCACATGAGTAATATAAAAGTTGACAACCTTTAAAAAAAATGCGAAGTAGCAAGGGACTACTGTACTCAGAAATCCCATTTTTCAGTATAAGTTATCTTAAAAAATGTGAGTATTTTGTAATAGATCAGTGAAATTAAACCAAATAATGGGTATTTTTCTTATATTCATAAACATACGGTGAGGCTTTGAACTAGACATTCATGCATGCTTTTCATTTTACTAGTTCAGCTGCTAAATTTAATTGTTTTTTCCTTTTTTATTACCAAAAACATGTGTCTGCTGTCTGGAAGAAAACTAAAAACTCAAATCTTTCACCCTCTGTCCTCCTCAGCCTGTCAGGAACCACAATCCCTGGATGCTGCTCTACTTCATCTCCTTCCTGCTCATAGTCAGCTTCTTCGTGCTCAACATGTTCGTCGGCGTGGTCGTGGAGAACTTCCACAAGTGTCGACAGGACCAGGAAGAGGAGGAGGCCCGCCTGCGAGAGGAGAAGAGGCTCAAAATGATAGATAAAAAACGCAGGAGTAAGGAGAATGGAGGGGCTGGTCGGTAGTCTATTTTTCTGAGCACTGCCTGCTTTCAGAGCTTGAAAAACAAAGAGGAATGATGAACGAGGGAAAACAGGGAAATAAATATGGAACAAACATAAAAAGAGGGAGAGATAAAGACTGGCTAGCTCACATGACTGATCACTGGCAGAGGGTGTGCGCTATGCCAATCTGATGCATGTAACTGTACGACTGCAGCCCCATCCCAACCTCCCCTAACCCTGCATGGAAAACAAGAAATTGTCACAATAGCCAATGAAAAGAACTAAAAGTCACCAAAACTGCCACAAGTTCACTGTAAAAATAAGACCCGCAACATTTAACAAGTTTTAGTTTGTACTATAAATATTTTGTAACGTGTAAAATGAAATAATTTGCCACGTTAATTTGGTTTAAAGAACCCACAGGTAGCACTTTTGCATGTATAGTCTCAGAAGGAACTTTTTCTGTAACGTCGTGAGAAAATTTTACTCGTAAAATTTTCCTCTGTGAAATGTCGGTCGTCCCCCCCCACCCCCCCCAAAATGCATGTGCAAGACCCTGAGACGCCTTTCAACTTTGGCAGAACGAGGACCTTCCTTCTAACTTTGCTTTGACTGGCAGACTCAGAAACATAGCAGACATTTTGGCTGCTATTTATTAAGAAATATTTTGTGGTTAACAGAACTATTAGTGGATGTTAAAAGTTCAAATCTTTTGAAATGGGGTTCTCAGAGCAGGTTGTAATGTTGAGAACTCTTTGACCTCAGTTTGGACGATCGGAGTTTATCTCACTAGATTTATGAGCTAATGGTTAGTCAGGTCTATACCAATGTGGCCTCAGACTGCACTGAATGTGCTACAGCTAGATGCTGCTGCTGCTGCTATCCATGCTTGCAAATAATAGTAATCTATCTGAATACAGTAGTCCCTCGTTTATTGCGGGGGTTATGTTCCAGACCCTCTCACAATAAGTGAAAATCTGCCAAGTAGCAACGTGACATTTATTTTAGTATTTATATATATTTAAAAGCTTTAGAAACCCTTCCCACACTTTTGCAATGTTCTAAACTCTTAAATCTACGTCATTTTAACAACATACATACAATACTGTATATGTAGCTACTAAATTTTACTTACTATCTCTGCAGAACAGCAACAGCTCTCGGTTTTGGTCCGACTCTGTTCTGTTTCTACAGATGTACAATGCAGCAACAAAGTCCACCATCAATGTTCTAAACTCTTAACCCTACTAATTTTAACAACGTACTTATATGTAGCTATTAAATTCTACTTACCAGCTTGTTCCCGCTCGGAGGTCCTCGTGAGCCGGTTGAAAGAGATGAAAAAATTCCCGGTGGGCTCCTACGATGGTCCTCGTCGGCCAGCTCTCAAGATTCACCGATGGGTCTGGAGGTCTGGTTCTGGTCCAGTTTGGTCAGTTCCATGCGGCTCTCTGCATCCATTGAGCACGGAGGTCATTGTAATAAGTGCAAAACTTTGTGCAATTAGCTCAAAACTTCCCTCTAGTATTTCAGCAGAAGGAAACAGGGGTTTGGGGCGGGGCACTGTTGGCTTCTGGAAAATGTAGTTATTATGAGCAGGAATACAGTGTAGGCTTCCTGAGAGAAAACTACAAAATGACGGCACCTGCCCGAAGTATTTTATTTTTTTGTAAACTTTTTACTGTACAGTACTGTATCCAGTACTGTCCCAATCACGTGGGTAAAATTAAAGTTGACAATCGTGTCCTGTACAACTTTTTTTAATTTTATAATTTCTTTACTTACTTTTTCTCCTATTCAATCTTACTTTAAAAAACGGCAATAGAGCGAGTCTGCAAAAGTCGAACTGCGAAGTACTGTAATCGCATAATGTCAAACTGGCAGGAATTCATTCAATCTTTATTTAGACATATTAATCCCATTGAGCCTCGAGGACTCATTTACAAGAGAGACCTGATTCTTAACAAAGAGTGATGACAACAATGGATAACAACAACAACAATAGTCATAAAATAGGCATACAAATTTAAGTTTCTCTTCTTAAAAAAAAACCCCAAAACAAATCAAAACAAAATAGCAACCAAAAGGACAATCAAGAGGAATAGCAGCAAAAAAAAAAAAAAACAGATCACAATTAGAAAACTAAAAACAGGAACATGTCTCATTGTAAGGGTTTCTAAACTAATTCAAAGCAAACAATCTAAAACCATCCATTGGCCTTGTCAGACTTGCCCTTAACTCGACATTTTGTCAGAAATAAACTATTTTCTTCAAATTGAGGTTGCTTATAGAGCTATCTACAACAAGTAAGATAATAAATGTTCAGAACATTTCCACAGAACTCTATTATAAAAGATCTGAACGACCTCTTGAAGGTACATTTACATTACTGAGTTACATTTTAAGGCAGTATGATGTATGCAGAATTTTCTTTTTTTAATCTTCATTTTTAGTGCTTAGTCTCACTGGTCCAAAGCTTCACTAAAAATCAGTGAATTAACAAATAACTGATCGGTTCCATTGAAAACCCCTAACTCCAGGGTTTGGCCATGCAATCAGCCCAAACTCATCTATCATTTCAAAGAACACTTCAGTTTTTGAACCACTGAGATTTTATCCTGTAGCGACGCTACCGGAGAGGAGAGAGGCTCCGGTGTTGAATCAGCACAGGTTGGCTCGGAATGATAAAACCCTTTTGAGAGCATCGTGCTGTTGAACACAACCTGGCTAGCCTCTCAACATCACAAACATTTCATCCAATATGAGCATGCAAAGGACAAACAGGGCATGATGTAACAGAGACGGGCACACTAAACTATTGTTCAGACCGTGTGAGTGCAATCTGTTAGACGATGTATGGGGTCACAGCATATTTTACTAAACACCAGCTCACATTTTTAGCTAGATGCAGCAATATATTTCTTATAATTCCCTTTATGTATATTAAAGCATGGTATAGAAACATCACATTACAAAATAATAGAAAATAATTGATCTTTCAGAGAAACTGTATATTATACAAATATTCATAAAGGATCATTTCTTATCATTTTTCTTTTTAAAGCTGTAGAGCATGAGTCTAATATGTGTTGGTTTGTTAAAAAAACAGGTAGTAAACAAGAAAAACATTTAGCTTAGCTTCAGCTGCTTCTTTTCCAGCACTCTAGTGAATAAAACACCTTCAGTCGTAAAACAAGGGCCCTACAGAGGCTGTATGTTACAGGCCTAACTGTTACTCATGTCCTCTCACATGTGAACACACCAGCAGTCGTGTGCACAGTCTAGTTGGATAATGAGATAAACTGCAATTTGCCAAAACATTTGATCACAATTCAAGACACGAGCACGTCTTGGTTGAATAAAAAAATTGAAAACAGGAGAGTTTTCCCAACGCAAGCAGAGGCTGTGGAGATCATTGATCCCTCCTCCTCTGCCTCGCTGTGCACACCACTGGGCGCATAATGTTTTGAGAGAACAAAGAGTCACGGAAAAATTTTGCTCGTTATATTTCGTTTTGCTGTGTTTGTGCGTTTCAGAAGCCAAGCAGAGGCCGTATTATGCGGACTACTCTCCTGTGCGTCTTTCCATCCACTCACTGTGCACGAGCCACTACCTGGACCTCTTCATCACCTTCATCATTTGCATCAATGTCTTCACAATGAGCATTGAGCACTACAATCAGCCACAGGTAATTAGATATCGCTCTCATGAACCTAAAAGAGTATGCAGTTATAACTGGGCTGCCGTTACAGCTCATACGAAGACGCTTTTAATAGTTTTTATACTTTTGTATCATAATCCGCATAATTTACTATTGAAATCCAAATCAAATCTACTTTTGTGCATCCTATTGATCAATAACTACATTTACATTATTACAGACTTTCTGTCTGGCTGTAAAACACATTGGGGGCAGTTTGTAATGTTTAGATACCAAAAAATGTTTCTTAAACTATTACATCTGCTACCAGTCAATAAATCAGCATCCTGTCAATGAGCCTTTGCAGTCACACAAATATTAGCTTTATGTCCATGGTCACTGAGCATTTTTACAACATGTATGTAGTTTATTATAAATAAGCAAAGAAGTGATTGTCCTCAAATGGAATTTTGTAGAATGGTCATTTTGCAGTATCATTAAATCCCTTTTAATGCATTTTTAACAGCTAATGGGATCCAAGAAATCCACTGTTTTGTACTATAGCAAAAGCAAAGTTATTTTGGTAATGTTGGAAAATTAATATCAAAGATCTATGGGGAAAGTTAATATTGACCGTAAAGGAATAAAAGCTGAATGGAAAAAAATTGGATCTTGCAGATCTTGTTCTTCAACTTTATGAGCAGGTTCCAGTTTCTTCTTCTGCTTTTAACAATATTCACTTAAAAACTTACAGAATTTGTTTTTTTTTTGCATGTTGAAAAATTATTTTCTTGAATGTTTCTTACATGTTGAGCCAATCCCTCTTGCAAATGTCTCGACATGAAAAAATAATCTTTCTGAAAAACAAATAAAATGAATATTTTCTACAAAAAGTTGTCATGTTAGATTTTTTTTTTTAATGTTCTGCTGACAAACCAGTTGGCTTACATGTATGTATTATTTATCTAATTGTGTATTAATGGTACATTACAGTTGAAGTTAAAATGTTTTTTATTTGTGTGTTTTTTAGTGTTCCTGAGAGACATTGCTTGGAGTCAGAACATCTGTTACTAATAATAAAAGCATGTAAATTTGCAGACAATATCTGTGCAAGATTACAGTGTAATGTTGTGTTTGAGCCCCACCATAAAGATATGGACATATGAGTATTGTTGTTGCTCTCAGAGAGAGATTTCAATTGCAAGGCTGAGGTGAAACAGTTCAAAAATATCTTCCAGATCTCAGTATTTTAGCTTTATAAACACCCCACCATCAGCAAAGTAAGATTATTGTAATTTAAAAAAAAGATATAAATCCTAGTAATTTTAAAACTTGCTTTTATTCCAATAATCCATTTTCTTTACTTGCTTTCCTGTGCAGGCTTGTAGGGGGAGCTAGTGCTTGTTTACAAGTATTTGTTATAAAGACTCAACTATATTGTTGGGTTGTTAGTGTAAATTCTAAAACAGCATTCATATTTTTCTCTGTTCAGTATTTGGAGGAGGTCCTGAAGTACTGTAACTACGTGTTCACCTTCATCTTCGTCATCGAGGCCCTTCTCAAACTTGCTGCATTTGGCTTCCAAAGGTTCTTTAAAGACAGGTAAAATCCAAGACGACTGCACATAGAATACGCACTCTCATGCTCCAGAACACTAAATAAAATGTACAATCTACTCAAACTTTCTCCACTCTCACAGGTACGAGCGTATTGATATGCGTTTTTATGTCTGTAGCTGTTGGTTTCAGTAGAGAGTTGATGAATTCATTTATGTGGTTTTCTAGTGACTTGGAGAAGGTCTTCCTCAGGGTACACTGTGAGGGTTGCTCAGCAAATATAGGATTGGGGCCCATTGCTACGAGCTGTGTGGGCCCTTTACACGTGGTACAAGAGTTTGGTTCACATTGCCGGCAGTAAGTGAACTCCACCTTGGCTGTCACTGATTCTGTTCATAACTGTCATGGACAGAATTTCTCGGTGCAGAAAGGCGGCGAAGGAAGTTCAGTTCAGTGGCCTCCGGATTCTATCTCTGCTATTTGCAGATGTGGTCCTGTTGGCATCATCGTGCCCAGATCTTCAGCTCACACTGGAGTGGTTTGCAGCCGAGTGTGAAGTGGCTGGGATGCGAATCTGTCACGAACCTCAATGTTGGAACCCAATTGCAGAGAGATGAGTGAGGCAGGAGTTCAAAAAACCAAAACAATTTATTTTTTAAACAACAAAACAAAAGGCTGTCGGTGCAGCAAAACTTACTTTTGGCAGATTGGATCAGAAATAATGCAGAGCAGATCATCAGGGGGGCAGAAACCAGGCAAGGCAGAAGAGGATTGTGAAGTCTGAGAACATAGAACAATCACCGGACAAGGAGTGAAGGAAAGAAAGGCTTTTTATGTGACAGAGGGAGAGTTAGTAATGAGAGCACCTGGGCAAGTGGCTGATGAAGGACAGGTGTGAATGATAAAGACTGAGTGGAGAAGCAGACTGAGGAATGAGAGGAACATAACAGAAACAGATAAACAGAAAATCACACACAAAGCAGAACAACATAAAATAAAAAGCAGACAGAGACAGAAACTTGAAATGGAAAGAAATGATTTAGTTAGTGGAATGATTGCTTGAAGATATGAATGTTGGTTCCTGGTTGCAGCTTGAAGGAGGTGGCAGAGGCTTGGCAGATGGGGGGGCAGCGGGGGCCGCTGACCGTGACAGAATCAGCACCTCCCAAATCTGAGGCCATGGTCTTCAGTCAGTAAAGTGTGGATTGTTCTCTGCAGGTCAAGGGTGAGGTTCTGTCTCTGCCTCAAGTGGAGCAGTTCAAGTGTCTTGAGGTTTTTGTCAAGGGAATGTGTATTATTTACACTCACCATGCTCCATACTTTTCACTGCTCTTTTACCATTTTTTGTGAATTATATTCAAATGTTCCATGTAACAATCAGTCTTCATGTGACTGGTCAGTGAAGGGACAACAGAAGATAGATTTTATCAAGGTCGGATTGATATGATTATAGTGACATGTTTCTTTCAGAGTCCTTGACCTTCCAGGTTCCCTCCCCACTTCTGTCTGGAGCTGGGTTCTGATAATAGCTAGACAGGGTGGGGAGGGGCTGGGAGTCTGGCAGTTGGAAGTTTCTATAATTTTTTATTTTTTTGTTCAGGAAGTCAGAACGGGTTAAAGCCTCAGATTGGTGGAAGCATTGATAAGTGGGAACTTGTAAATGCATTGATCTTCTGCGACTGCTGACTGTTCTCCAAATCTTTGTAAATAAATTGAAGAAGTCTACACCTGGTTGCTTTGGGAATTGCTTTTTTCCACAACAGTTTTATTCACGAGTGAGGGAAGAATGGAGCGTGACATTGACAGATGGATTGGTGCAACATCGGCAGTATTGCGGACACTGTGCCAATCTGTGGTGGTAAAGAGGGAGCTGAGATGTAAGGCCAAGCTCTCTGTTTACTGGTCAGTCTACGTTCCTACGCTCACCTATGTTTACAAGCTCTGGGTAGTGACCAAAAGAACGAGATCACAGATAGAGGCGGTTGAAATGAGTTTTCTCCACAGGGTAGCTGGACTCTCCCTTAAATTACTGTATGAAAATTCTAGTCATAGTTTGCAGTGACTAGCAAATTAAAAAGAAAAAACAAAGAGATATTGGTTTTTCCAGGCACAGTAAATGCAGCACAACTTACATTTAAGGTCAAAACTATATATATATATATATATATATATATATATATATATATATATATAT